TTTGGATAAATACCCAAAAGTGGGATTACTGGGTCCTTCTTTGTCTCTTGTTATAGGCTTTGTTTTAAAGTCTGTTTTGTCTGGTATAAGTATTGTTATTCCAGCTTTGTGTTGTTTTGTTTCTTTCATTTCCATTTTCATGAAATAACGTTTTTCATCTCTTTACTTTCCTTCTGTGTGTGTCTTTCAATCTGAAGTGGGTCTCTTGTAGGCAGCATATGTAAGGGTCTCATTTTCTTTTCCATTCAGCTCTCCTATGTCTTTTGATTGGAGCATTTAATACATTTACATTCAAAGTAATTATTGATAGATATATAGCTATTGCCATTTTATTATTCATAATTTTGATCTTTTTTTTTTTCCGTCTTAAAGAACTCCCTCTAACATTCCTTGTAATACTGGTTTGGTGGTGATGAACTCCTTTAGCTTTTTTCTTGTCTGGGAAGCTCTTTATCTGTCCTTTGATTCTAAATGACAGCCTTGCTGGCTATAGTACCCTTGGTTGTAGGTCCTTGCTTTTCATCACAGTGAATATTTTGTGCCAATCCCTTCAGGCCTGCAAAGTTCCTGTTGAGAAATCAGCTGACAGTCTCTTATAGGGGCTCACTTATAAGTTACTAGTTGCCTTTGTCTTGCTACTTTTAGGATTTTCTCTTTGTCTTTAATCTTTTAATTGTAGTGTGTCTTGATGTGAGCCTATTTGGATTCGTCTTGTTTGGGACTCTCTGTGCTTCCTGGACTTTTATGTCTATTTCCTTTGCCAGGTTAGGAAAGTTTTCAGTCAGTATTTCTTCAAATAGGTTCTCAATCCCTTGCTTTCTCTCTTCTCCTTCTGGTACCCATATGATGTGAATGTTGTTAAGCTTGATGTTGCCCAAGAGATCTCTTAAACTATCCTCATTTTTATGGATTCGTTTTTCTTCTTGCTGTTCCAATTGGGAGTTTTATGCTACCTTGTCTTCCAAATCACTGATTTGATCCTCTTGCTTCATCTAGTCTGCTGGTGATACCTTCTAGTGCATTCTTCATTTCAGTTATTGTATTCTTCACTTCTGACTGGTTCTTTTTATGGTTTCTATGTCCATTTTTATTCTTACTATCTCTCTGTTGAAGTTCTCACTAAAGTTCCTTGAGCATCTTTATAATCATTGTTTTGAGCTCTCGCTCTCTCTCTCGTAGGTTGCTTGCCTTCATTTCATTTAGTTATTTTTCTGGAGTTTTCTTCTGTTCTTTCATTTGGGATGTATTTCTTTGTTTCCTCATTTTGGCTGCCTCTCTGTGCTTGTTTCTATGTATTAGGTAGATCTGCTATGTCTCCTAGTCTTGGCCAGGTGGCCTTATGTACTAGGTGCCCTGTGGGGCCCTGGAACAGTCTCCCTGGTCACTTGCTCCGGGTGCTGCAGGAGTGTCTCTTGTGTAGGTTGTGTGTGCCCTCCTGTTATAATTGAGTCTTGATTGCTATTGGCATGTCAGTGGCTGGGATTGGCCCTCAGGCTTACAGGCTGCAGTGGGGTGTGAGGGGTTGCTTACCCCCACTGAGTGGGATTTGCCCCAGCAGGCTCTGGTGCCTGCTGAGACTGCCCTTTGTGTGTGCCACCTGTAGGCCTAATTGGGCAGTGCTCTGCTGTGGTCTGAAGCCCACCTCCAAGTATGTTGGTTCTGGGGCCACTTGGGAAGGACTCCAGTGCAGGCCCAGGTTCCCACTACCTGTGACTAGCCAGGGACTACCTGGTAGGAGCTATAAAGCTATCTGTGGTTGCTTGCTGCCTGTGCTAAAGTTGGAGGCACGTGGGAGAGGACACACTGCAAACCGAGGCTGGCTGCCACCAGTACCAGGCCTGGGGTAGCTCCACAAAAAGCCAGGACACCCCAGGCCTGCTGCCACCTGCCAGGTCCCTTAAGGTTCAGCCACCGATAAAGCCTTGTGCAGTACGTGAGTTGGGTGAGGCAGGGTCTCAGGTAGTCACTAGAGTGGGAAGAGTTGTGGTCACCAGGTTAATGTAGACTCTGATTTGGTGCCAGTGCTGAGCCTAGAGCAACTCAACAAAAGTCTCAGAGCACACTGAGGCCAGTCCACCTGGGGTCTGGGGACTCCAACAGTTTCCCAAAAAAGAATGTAATGTGGGAGGGGCTGACTGTTCGCAGGAAGGTGCTTCTTTCGTTGGGGTAATTGAGTAGGGCAGCGTCCCAGTGAGTCAGCAGGGCAGAGTGATTGGAGCTCACCAGACCAATCAGATTCAGATTTGGCTATAAGCGTAGGGGGAGGGCTCAACACAGGAAAGATGGCACCTGCCTGCTGGCTGCACAGGAAGAGGCTCCCTCACAGGGAAAATGCTGGCTGTCCTCTAACCCTTGCTCCGTAGCCACACACCTCAGTCTGCTCCCCCCATGCCTCTGACACCCCCTCCCGGCACCCCAACTCACCATTCCTACGATGGAGCCCAGGGTGAGTGCCTGGGAGTGAGAGAGTCTGTTTCCAGGCCATTTAAGAGGATGTCTGGGTTTCCTGCAGTCTTCCATCCCACCTGGATGGTCAGAATCCCCGCAGTTTTTCATAGCCAGGTGTGGGGGCTTCTCTGCCTGGCACTCGTACTCTGGACTGGGGAGGCTCATATGGGGCTGGGGTCTCTCGCTCCTCCAGGGGGAACCTCTGTGGCAGAGATATCCCTTCTGGTGGTTCTCAACCACCACAGGTTTGGGGCCAGCCCATTTCGCATCCCCACCCCTCCTATCAGTCTCGATGTGGCTGCTTCTTTATATCCTTAGTTATAAATTTTCTGTTCAACCTAACTTCACATGGTCCTCCAGGATGATTTTTCTATAATTTAGTTGTAATTTTAATGTGTTCATGGAAGGAAGCAGGCACAGTGATTATCTACTCCGCCATCTTGGATCGCTCCTTTAGTTTCTATCTTTATCTCTTTTCCCCTATGCCTTCCCTCCTCTATAGGAAACTTTAGCAAAAATCTTTAATGGCTTATTCTTCCTTTTTCTGTTTCTAAGGATAAGCAGATACTTATGTTCCAAAGGGTGTTGGACTCTCTCTTAGCTAAATGTTAGCAAACTATACAGTTTTTTCCACCTTGCTTTTTAAACTTAATATTATATCTTGGAGATTATCCCATGGTGGTAATAATATATAAACTTAAAAATGTCCATAAAACTAAATTCGTAAATAAAATACTATAATTAGACATTTGAGTATTTCATCTACTTCCCTAAAAGTTGCTTATTCGAGTTTCCCTCAAAATCTTTTTTTGAATATTTTTATTGGGAAAATGGATTGTGTTATGTTCAGGGTTGCCTTATTTGGGGGCATAGATGATAACTACAAAATAGTAAAACACTTACTGGAAATTTGAGCAGGATCTGGAAGAATGGCGAGGATTTGGTGTGTTGGGGAGTTGGCGAAGGGGCATGTTAAATGACCAGACAGTGTGAGCAAAGGCATGAAGGTGGGAATGTGCACAGCACCCATGGGATCAGTGAGCCTGGCTGGAGCGATAGTTTTGGTAAGGGAAATAGACTAGCAGGGAAATCAGTTATGCTATTTTTTGAAATAATTCAGAGCCTGGTGAAGGTCTTGATAAGGTAGGTGCCATTATATTCATTCTTTCAACAAAGACTTATTGAGCACCTACTGTGTGAAAACTGTGCAGAGTGCTGGGGAAACAGTGGTGAGGAAGACAGATATGATCCCTCCCTTAAGGACCAGAGACATTTCATTACTAAGGTGAAGTACAGTGTGCTATGAGAGCATAAAAATAGGGGGACCTAGCTTACTTCAGAAGAGGGGTAGTCAGGGAAGACTTCTAAGGAAGTGCATTTAGGCTGAGATCTATGGGATGATAAATTAAGTATTAGTGGCTGGTGGTAGAGGTGGGGGTAGCAGGCAGAGGGTGATAGGTCTAGGCAGAAGGAGCATCATTGAGGGAAGAAAGTCAGTGTGATTCCAGAACTAAAAAAAATGTCCAGTGTGACTGAAAGTGTTGGAGAGTTGGGATAGAGTGGATATGAGATGAGAGTGAATTTGAGAGAAATTGCAAAGGAGGTCTTGATAAGGAAAGGGAACTTTTTCTTTGAAGGCATGTATTGGGTTGTCTGAAAGTCATGACGTATTTTTCTGTTTTTCATTGCAAAAATGTGTCATGACTTTTCTGACAACCCAATAATAGGTACTCAATACATGTGGAATGGATGAATAAATAAGTTTGAAATTTCAAATGTGGGCTAAGAAATGATGGTACGAATGAGGTAAGAGTAAGTAAGTGAGCACAGGCTGCTAGTTTTGTATGGAATATTTGTTTGGTTTGAGATATTATGGGCCTTGAGGTGCAGCATCCTGGTGCTTTGTCAAATACTGAACCACACCATTTCAGGCTGCTGTTGAAATTGTTAAGACTCAAGTGAGGGAAACAAAAGGTAGAGCACTCTTCTTTGGGGGATCATGGTTAGAGAAAGGAGATGAGCTTTAGGTTGAGACAGAGAAGGTATGGTCACAGCAACAGGATGGAGAATTTCAAGGATAGATTGGTAAACAGGCTCAAATGCTGCAGGAGACCAGTTTACACCAAATGAGACAATGTAGTTGACACCACTTACGAAATGAGAACATGTTAAATTGATGTATAGGTGGGGTGCGGAGTTAGAAAGGCCATGAGATCTGTAGTCACAAGACCTGGGCTCAGTCCTAGTTCTGCTTTTACGCCATTTGTGACCTTCGGCAGTAATTACTTAATGTTCTCTGAGTCTCAGGCTGCTCATTTATAAAATGAGAATGAGAATGGCTGCCATATTTGCATCTCCAAGTTATTGTGAAGTTCAAATTAAAAATATACAGAGACCGTTGTGTTTTTCTTCCAAGTGGTGCATAAAGGGTCTCACACACACACAGTACTTAACTGAATGTTTGAATGAATCTACATTCATTCAATTACTATTACATATGTAATTACTATGACGTAGGGTATTACTATGATGACTTGTTTATGTTTCAACAGAGACCAGATGAAGAAGCTGTGGTGGATCAGGGTGGGACCAGTACGATTCTCAACATTCACTATGAGAAAGAAGAATTGGAAGGTAAGAATGGCTGTTCTATGTAATGGGGGAAATTAGCAAGAGGCCGCACTGCACGGTGTGGGAGGAACAGCTTTGCCATCAGAAGACCTGGATTTGAGTCCTAACTCTCTCACCAGCTATAAGACCTTGGGGTGGGGGGGGGGAACCCACTTAATTTCCCTTAGCCGGAATTTCCTTGTCTGTTAAATAAAAGTAGGGATAATAATATTTGTCTTACTATTAGGATCTAATAGACAGCATGTGAGACAGTGCTTTGAGCATTGTAAAGTCCAATATAAGTATTAATAAATGACCTGTTTCTTGAGAATGTGAAGTACTCAGATCAGTTTATTGATTGACAATCCTTAGAAATATAAAAATACACAAAATTTTAAAAGAAAAAAGACAAATTTTACAACTCAGTTTGGCTATGAAACTGTTTTACAATATTTGCTCTTCCCTTCTAAGTATACCCATTTCTGCCAGGTGTTTTCATCTAAACAAGAAAAGGGAAAATACATACACACCTATAGCATATTCTTTAAGAGTTGACAGCACAGAGTTGTATATAAACCCAACTGAAGTGGACGGGAAGGAAGAGGCATTTTATTGAGCTGCTCTGTCTAGTTTACCTTATTAAGGCTCTTTTTCCTTCCTCTCCTGCCTCACTCCCAACTTCCCACATGACCGTGGCCTGGTGTCCTGCTTTTCTTTTCCCCATGGGGCCTAGTTTCCTGATAAGTGGTGACGCTCAGTTTTATTAGAGAAGGCTCATATCTAGTGTAGCTCTAATGAGAACCCACATTTCGCTCAAAAGCCTTTTTGAACTCTCTGCAGCATCCCCGGCAATGTTGAAGGCTATGATACAGCAACTTTCTAATGACTGGGACAGCATGTGAAATATTCTCTCTGTACTTCTTGTTCCCATGACTTTTTTCCATCAAAGTTATAACAATCCCCAGAGAAAGCTTGTCCTTCGGATGGGGAGAGCGAAAGCTGTGGAGGCTGACTCAGCCTCTGGGTCTGTTACCATGAGAACTTATGTGGGTGGCTCTGTGGAGGTCACTGGAGTTTGGATATATGAAGGTCAAGTTTTCCAAGTTATTTTAACGAGGTAGAAGAAGAGCTGATGTGGATTTCAGCAACTGGGAGAAAGTGGGAGAAGAAAAGGGTGTGGTGGTGGGAGACTAACATTTGTTGAATGCCCCTTGTGCGTTAGGCATTTGATTAGGGCCTTTGTATCAGTTGTCTTTTTTATCTTCACAACAGTGAAGACAGGTAGGTTTTATCCCTATTTTATGCATGGGGAAACCGCTCATGGGCATCTAGTCTAATGGCAGGTGAGACTGGGATGGAAGTCTGCTCTTTCCACTCTCCCACACTGCCTGCAAGGGAGGACAGTATCCAGCATTAACCACCCAACCTCCACATCTTGCTCAGTTCTATAAACATCTGGATGTGTTGCCCCGCTCTCCTTCTGCCCTGATACTCTTGTTGCCTCACTACTTTCTCATTGCTCCATGGGGGCAGTGCTGCTCTCAGTTTAGCTGCTTGGGTCTACGAGACCTTTATCCTCAGCAAGGAAGTAACCATTTATGAACAACACTCTTGTCTACTTGGGAGTAGACTAGTAAACTTGGGAAAACTCTCTTGAATCCTGAGGACTGTGTTTCATGCACAAAAGTCAGCTGAGTAATAGGCAGTAGGAGCAGCTTCTCATGATGACATCATCTATTCCTTATGTGCTGTCCATTTTGCCATAAAAGAAAGCCATCTATGATGATGTCATCACTAGGGGATAGTGTGTCAGGAAATGGTTCTTTATACATACACCTTTTTGAAAACTAGAGTCTTATTTATTTACCACTATTAATAAAAGGCACTCCAAGCACATGGAGGACAAATGGTGCCTATTCCTTAGGCCTGATGTGGTTCTAGAGCAGCTCTAGAGAAAAGAGGGATTTGCTGTAGGGCTGGACATGCTGTGGGCTCTGCCCTGACTCACCCTGAGGGCAGCCCTAGGACTCAGTGAGGCTGCACTCAGGATGCCATCGTCTCTTGAAGGTGTGGGGTAAAACTCAATCCCACTTTGATGGAAGACAAGTAAATTGTATTCTGATTCGATATGTATGCCATGATACAAGATTGTGTGGCTGCAGATAAGTCCCTGTGTCTTCTTTTCCCTTTATTCCATACCCTCTACCCCACATGATGTAAAACATTCCCTTACCCTTTTCAAAATTACTCTGAGATTGAAGTCTGTGGACATTGTGAGAGACTTTTGTGATTGTGGGTCTTTTGCATAAATTAATTCCATCAGTAGGAGATGGTGCATTAAACCATGACATTGCTTTTTTATACATATGGGAAGAATGAAAAGCAAACATTAGAACAGATTTCCAAAGATAAACTCACGAAGAACAATAGTCCACAATGTGACTCAGGGTACTCTCCCAGTCCCAGGGGAACACAAAGCAGTTGCTTTAGTTAGAGGAATGGATTTTTCCATTTTTCCTGGCAGATCATTACTCTTGATTAACTACTAGATTTATGAATCCTAGCGTAAGTTTAGTGCCCTCTAATAAGTTTTTAACAAATGTGTAAGAGACATTTGGTCATATTTATGAGTTTAAAAAAAAAGGCTTGCATCTGATCCACATATTAGATTCCCCCCTGCTCTTATTGACTGAGTCAACCTGTAGCCCAGGGGAGTGGAACAAAACCCTTTTGTACGTGCTAATGAGTTCCGTCTGCTCCATAAACAGTATGTAGGGAATGGTAGGCCTAATCTCCATCTGCAGGGTGGATCCCAAATGTGATTTCTGTCCTGCTCTGCAAGAATCAGTCCCAGTTCCACATGTCTTGTTAGGGAGATCTCTTCATGGACAGTGTAGATGCCTGACCACTGTACAGTACATCTGAAGCTGCCGTTGAATAATATTGTATGTCAACTATAATTAATTGGGTTGTTGGAAAAGTCATGACTTATTTTTTCTGTTTTTTATTGCAAAAATGAGTCATGACTTTTCCGACAACCCAGTAAAATATATATATACACACACACACACACACACACACACACACACACACACACACACACCCATATTGTCACGGGATGTCGAGTACAGGGTGGGGAGTGAAGTCATTGGAATTGTAATAGATATGTGTGATATCGGGGGTGGGGACGGTGGATTGGGGGAGAGGGGTTGTTACCTTGTGAGGGGTGAAAACTATAACTATTGCATTGTTTTGTACACCTGAAACTAATAAAAAACAAAACAAATTAAAACAAAACAAAACAAAAAGATTCAGTCCCAGTTCACTAATGATTGATCTCTGTATGTGTATGTGTACTTATTTTTAAAAATATACACTAATGTTGCATCTTTCCCATAAGTTTTACTAAATGAATACTTGTATTTGTATACAGATAGCCCCCAAAGAGTAGATTTGACAATAACTGGAAAAAAGAATAGAGAATTAGATGGGAAGGAGGTGGAATGTGGGTGAGCTGATAGGTAGATGAGGGGGGTGAAGACTGTGTGGGTAGGAGAGCAGGTGAATGGCCCACAAAGTGACCACAGGATTAGTTTAGGGAAGTCCCGGGACTGCCAGAATCCAGTTAGATAGAATGGATTTTATTGGTGCTCTATTCATTTCCTAGTGTCCATTTGTTTGTCATCTTTTCTGCTGATTTCACTCAGAAAATCCAAGTTTCTGCTTCAGCCTAGAAACCCGATGCCTAATTTTCTGATAGCCACTTAATCCTTCTTAGCTCTGACCCCTGCTGGGGCTTGTTTTTATTTCTGCCTGTCTCGCTGCTGTTTTCAAAAGACTGGCCCTGTGGTTGGTTGGCTAATGTTTGTGAGAACCTATTAGACCTAAAACTCTTAGAGAAGGAAGAGTCTTCTTTCTCTAGGATTTAAGCTTTACCTTACTTCCCACAGAGCTGTCAAAGGCACCTGTTGTAAGTCTTCCCCATTATCTCTCAGACCTGCCTAGTGGGAATTTAAATATCAAGCAAAACCATACATTATTTATTCAATGAACATTTACTGAGCCTTTTCTATAGTCTCTTTTTGCGATAAGAAAGGATACTGAGAACAATTGAGCCATCATGACTTCTCCAAAGAATGCCCTAGCGTGAGCCTTTAGTAGGTCTTGAACATTAGAACTGGACTAGCCGTTACCTGGACAAGACCTGAGAAGTCATTTGGTCCAACCTCCTTGTTTTACTTTAATAGTGTAAGTGAGTAAATTAACCAAGAAAATGAGATCTAATAACACAGGTTCTAATACCTAATCGCTGTCTTCTCAATTTCTCTTTAGGATGCAGTTAAAATTAAATAATACTAGCAATATACCAGCACGGGCCCAGTGGAAGTATTTGGGATGTGCTTAAGGAGAAGTGGAGATCCTAACCTGGCCAGTCACCTTCTGGGGGATTTGCCAGGAAGAGGAAGCACATGGTTGGGATGGCGCTATTGAAGGACCGAATGTTACTCCTTCGACTGGCCTTCACCTAAGTCTAGCTCTATCTGGACACACCTGATTTTATAACTTTGGTCAGTCACCGTTTTAGGGGCTGGTTGAAGTGATTCTCTAGGATTTAATTGTGCCTTTTATGGCCCACGGGTTCTTCATGATCTGCCCTTGTCTGTTTCTCTAACCTTTCCCCCTCCTGTCCTCTCTTCTTTCATCTTGCTCTGGCCCTGTTGGCTGTCCCTTGGCCTCGGAACCAGCCCTGCACATGGCCATCGTGAGGCCTATGCACGTGATCTTCCCTTTCTCTGGAATGCTCTTCTCCCAGGTCTCCTCATGGCCTCTCCTTCTCATCACTCAGATGTCCCTTCTAATCATCTTACCTAAAGTCTCCCTTCTCCATTACACAGACGCTCTAGCACTTTACCATATTTATTCATGATAATTATCCATATTTAAAATAATATGTTTTTGTTTGTATGATGTCTGTCCTCCCCAGTTAGAATATGTGTCTTGAGGACAGGGATTTTGTGCTGTATCCCTGGCCCTTGGGACAGGCCCTGGCACAATTAGGTGACTCCAACCTGGGTTGATCTCAGTGGTGTACTACAGTGACCTAATTAACATACTATAGTCAAATATTATTAGTTAACAGATGGTATTTTATTAAGGTAATATTCACACTTGATAGTTTTCACTGATAATGTCAGAAGTCTGGAATTCCACATCTTAGCAAATGACCGCTTGGGGTTCTATATTGTTTTAATGAAGTTGTAAGATGACTACATTATGTTTAGAGATCTCCCTGTCAAAAATGTTCTGAGATGTACGCAAGTCGACATAGGACTGTCCTACGACAGGAAGAGGGTAAAAAGTATGATTCTACTAGATACTAAATATTTTATACTCCTGCCTCTCAACACTGTAACAAATCTCTTATCATCTCTAATCCTCACTGTTTCTTTTTTATTTTACTTTATCACTTTGGAATTTGGAAGATGGGAGTGGACAAAGAAAAGGAGGGAGAAATAGAGAAAGGACTGTTAGAGCAGCACTCCAAGTCACTTTAACCCCATTTGGAGGAAAGAGCACTATCAAGGAATCCCCAAAGAAGTTGGGCACAGTCTTAGGAAACCCCATTGCTGGGAAAAGAAGAAGATGAAGAGTTGGTAACTCTTTCCATAAAGTCCCCTTATCTAGGAAGTCTCCCTGGATTGAGCTTTCAGTTCTTGGGTTCGGTAGGGCCTTCTCAGTCCTCCCATGCCCTCGTGAGCATTGCATCCACCCTAAACACGTTCACTTTGGTTGTTCACTCCTTTTGTGGCCCCCTTCAGATCAGAGGCCTTCTTAGGTCAGATTGTGTTCTCCTGAGGAGGTCCTAAGGGGTTATGTTCCTAGTGGAGGCACTTAGGAGATACTCCATTTTCTGAGTATTGGTGGACGGATGACCATGCATAAGACACCACTTTGTTACGTGAGGGATTCCAAGAGGAAGAAGGTCTAGCCTGGGACCTCAAGGAGTTTGCGGATGACTAGTGGGAGATAAGACTGATAGATGCTTAACTCTAATGCAAGACGTAAAGTAAGTGCATAAGAGAATGCTAGCCGAAGACTCTGGGGATTTAGAGGAAGGATGTGGCACATCTGATCCAGGAGATCAGACATAATACCAAGAAGGAAAGTGCATTTGCAATGAACCTTGAAGGAGTGAGTGAAGTCAGTGGCCAGAAAGCACTCGCACATGTGTGGAACAGCCGTTTGGTTCAGGTAGAAGAAATAATGTGAGATGATGGTGGGTGCAGCAGCCAAGGATGTGAGGAGGAGACAGTCCGACCCAGGCCACTGTGTTGCTGGGGTGGATGCAGAAGGTGCCCATCTCTAGATTCCTACTCCCCTGGCACGGTCATTCAATGTGAGCATGTGTGGGATTTCCACCTTTATCTCTCTTGAGCTGATCACTCTTTTACTTCTTTTAGAGGTATTTCTCTATTGAATGTATGATTTGTCCTAGAGGAAGAAAAGACTAGAAAGGAGGCTGCTGGGGCCTTTATGTGCTGGAGCATGAAGGGTCCTGACTCTGTAGGAGTGAGCCATGATCAGGGCAGTGCTTCAGGGGGATTGGTTTTTTTGTAGGATTGAATTGGTGTGGGAGACAGGAAGGAGGCCCCTGCTGTAGTCAAAGGGGGAGGAGAGAAAAATGTGGCATCCCTAACCTGTAGGATGTAGCACCAAGGGGCATGGGTAGAGGTAGAAATCTAAGATAACTGAGGTTTCAAGCAAGCCTGGAAAGTTGAGAGAATGACAATGCTAGGGACAGAAACATGGAAAAAGTGAGTCTGAGCCTGATTTGAGATGGAGGAAGGTGAGTTTGCTTTGGGACATACTGAATCACTGTAGATAAAGATTTGAGGGTCATTTGTAGAAGTGAACTCTGATCGGGAGAGTAAATATCACTAAAAAGAGAGAAGAAAAGGGCCAAGAGCGAAACCCAGGGAGCCTTCCTTTGGTGGATTGTGGGAGGGGTGGAGAAGCACAATTAGAGGAGTGCAAGCGAGCCAGGGAGGGCAGTGGGACAGCAGCCAAGGGAGCCCAGAACACTAAGGCGAGGAAGTGGTGGAAGTGGTAAAAGGACTTGGATACTGCTGGGAACGTGATGGGCTCTCAAGAAACGCTTTTGAATTGAACTGAGAGACTTAAGATGATAGAGATTTGGTGACAGATATTAGGTGTCTTTGGTGTCCCTAATGAGAGCAATTTCAGTGGAGAGTGGTCACCTGCAGAAGCTATGGAACAAGGAGATGGTGAGCAAAGGGAGGTAGGTTGGTAGACTGTTCTTGAAAGTGGTTTGATGGAGAAGGGAAGAGGGCAAGGCAGAAACCTGGGAGAGGAGCACTGCAATGGGAAAGTTTCTTAAGATAAGGGCGACTTGAGCATGTGTGTAGTCGAGAAACCCATGGAAGCGATGAATGGAAAGGAGAGACGCAGGACAGCTGATGAAGTAGGACTCCAGAGGGCTGGGAGATGATGCTCATTAGCCTGGCAAAGAGGAGAGGCTGGGGAGGAACAGGAGCCAGGCCGAGGTGGAGGAGCTTGCACGAGAGGTCCTGGGTCTTCTTATTAAAACATGAAGCGAGGTCACCTGCTCCGAGGGAGGAGCTGTGGTGAAGGCTGTGGATTTGAAGACAGGGACTAAAGATTGGAACAGCTTTTGTGGTGGAAGATGTGGGGAGTCAGCCTGAGATCTAGAGTGCTGAGCAGCAGTAACTGGGCAGAAATGGGGGAAAACTAGGGCTCTGTGTGGGGGGTCGCGCATCCTGGAAGCTTCTCCTTCTGGTCGCCAGGCTTGGCAGGAAAGCAGGTGAAGCCAGGTGGAACTGAGAGGGGCCTGCAAGTCACAAAGAGAACAAAATAAGGTTCATAGAAGGCAGGAGGAAGTAGGAAAGGAGGAACTAGAGAGGAATGCTACTGGATCACTTTTTCATGTTCACCTCTTTTTGCATAATATTTAATACCTCTTCCTATAACCCCAGCCTTATGCTTCTTCTGATTCGTAACCAGTCTCTCACTGTTATTCTACGTTGTGTATTCTACAGTGCAGAAAAACAAAATAATGGAAACTGATCCTAAAATGCATTGGCTGCTAAAATTTATTCCAGGCATTGTGTTAAGCATTTTACATACATTATCTTATTTACTGCTCATAAACCCCTCTGAGTTTAATAAGCTTTTAGTATTCCTTTTTAAAGATAGTCACAGAGAGATGAGATAACTTGTTCAAGGTCACAAGGCTAGTGAATGATGACGTCAAGTTTTGGGCCCAGGCAGGCTGACCTGAGCACCGAACCACTTTTCTAAACTGCCTCCCTGTCAAGACTTGCTGTAATTGTCATAGAGTGACTGTATTGCTTTTTAACAATTGTGCAAATTGTCATTGTAATCACAACAACTAGCATCTGTACTGGCATTTCATGTTCACACACATGATTTCCTTTGATCTTAACAACACTTCTGTGAGGTTGGCAGACGCATGCAGAACGAAGGAGAACTTCAGCTCCAAGATCTCTATATTCTCAGTCCTGGGAGTCTTTTGTTTTTTTAAAAGATTTTTATTGGGGGATTGGGGGGATGGGAACAGTGCCAGGGAATTGGGGGGAAGGGGAACAGACAAGTGTCTGTCATTTTGTTCTTCAGTCTAGTTGTGGAGGACGTTGCTTCACTGGCCCAAGTTGGCACCATCATTGCGCTCTTCCCGGGCGAGGCAGATCAGTCGCCGGCTTCTGGACGGCTGCTCACTGCGGCTGCTGGCCGCTCACGCTGGCTGCTGGCTACACACGGTAGCCCATGGCAACCCACCTGCCAGCGCCGGCGACTCACGGCAGCCCAGCTCCAGGTCGAGCTGTTGTTCAGCATCTTAGCTGTAGAGGGCAGTGTCACTGGCCCTCATATGCGGGATCCGAACCGGGGCCCTCTGGCGTCCCAAGCCAGTTTTTAACCATCGCGCCACTCGGCCGGCTCAGTCCTGGGAGTCTTTGAAGTTTTATAATTGCAGAGGTGTGACCAGCCTGAAGATTTGGAATCTTTCTCCCTGCCTCTTAAATATGCTAGACTCCTAATACTAAAGGATTCTCTCTACTGACCGTCTGCTTCTTTTCAGGTCATAGGACTCTGTACGTGGGGGTTCGGATGCCACTGGGCCGGCAGAGCCATCGGCACCACCGAACCCATGGCCAGAAGCACCGGAGACGAGGCCGGGGCAAAGGAGCCAGCCAGGGAGAGGAAGGCCCTGAGGCCCTGGCCCATGGTAACACCCTCGGGAGAGAGGGTGGGTGTCCATGGCTGGGAGGCGTGGTGAGGCTGAGGGCATGTGTGATGGCGTCAAGCAGCTGGCCTTGATTCTCTAGTCTAGCCCGTCTATAGCATTTTCAGAGCTTGCTTCGAGAAGGAGAAATGCCACTAAGAATCAAAAGTATCCTCCTGAAAACTATACAGTTCAGGCCCCAAAATCAATACCATAGTAGGTGAAGTCATTTGCTAGAGAATCAGCCATTCCTTTTGATCAAATTCATCAGATTTCCAATTTCTTGTGGGTTTTCTTCAAGTGGTCTTAGTAATTTTTTCCTCCCATGGAATTGCTTCCACAGAAGAGCTCTTTAAAAAATTCTTGGGGATAAAGAAATCTTTTTGATTTCTATTCAGGATTCTCTTCTGTATGTTCCTGAAGTTGTAAGGCCCCCAAATGCGCTAAGTATGGCAGAATGCTATTTCTGTTCTAAGTTGAGGTTGGGAGCAGACCTTTCTCTGTGGTTGATTTCCCAGACACACCATCTCAGCGTGTTCAGTTCATTCTTGGCACTGAGGAAGATGAAGAGCATGTGCCTCACGAGCTGTTCACAGAGCTGGATGAGATCTGTATGAAGGAGGGAGAAGATGCCGAATGGAAGGAGACAGCCAGGTGAGGCCCTGAAATAAACTCGGTCAAGACTTGCTTGGAAGGCAAATGTGTACCTGTCAGCAAGTGACAGGCCTGCCAGCCTTTTGTTTCTTCATGGGAGAAGCGATGACTGACATGGGGCTGATGTTCCAGGGTCTTCTATGGAAAGCTTGACGTTAGCCTCTTTGTGAGATCTCTCGTCATACCTTTGCCAATTGACCTGGAGCCTGGGATTGGTGACAGAAACATGAAACCTTCAGGGGGCCTTTTCTGATTTGTTTGGGACCCAGAGTACTTCGTGGACTATCCTGATATTATAGGTCTGGTTTAGAAGATGCCTGACAGGGCCACCTTGGTGTGGACCTCACCCAGAAGATAGAGCATAGGTCCAGACTTTTCCTGCAGGTGAACCATAGGGCCATTTGGATTTCAATTCGCTGGAAGTCCCAGAATTTTTGAGACTTGAACTTCCAGTGGGACTATCCAACCTCTTAGAGAACCTTGGGAGTGTAGTCAGCCTGGCAGTAGACTTTCTGGGATAGTTGTAGAGTGACCATGCCTGTCTGAGGCTCAAACCCCAGAAGAGCCCTCAGATTAATCAGGACCATGTCCAGGGCTCCTCTAGTAACTGACCAGTGAGCCTTATTGGTGATACAAAGCCAGCATACCTGAACCTCAGGGAAAGAGGCACGCTGGGTAACTAGCAGCTTGTGGCTCCAGCTCTCATAGGAACAGCTCTTCCTGGATGCCTGCCGTGTCTGTGGATGTTTTCTGTGGGTTGAGAGGATTAAATAAGCCAGTCGACCTGAGACCAAGTGAAAAGGCAATTAATCTTGTCATTCTGTCTTTGCAAACTGCTAAAGGTCACACAGATAGTCCCTTTAAAAAGAAAACTATTATCATTTTATTAATGTGATTTGTCAATGTATCCCAATGACATAGAGTAGATCTATTTTTAATTGCATAAGTAATGCACGCCCATTACAAAAATTAGGAAATAAAGATAAGCAAAAAATAGAAAATGAAAATTATGTGCGGCACTCCAGGGATAATGGGGAATATAATTTTTGGTGTCTTATACATGTATGTGTTTGTATTTTTAAAATTTTCTTTAAGTAAAAATGGAATCAAACTGTACTCAGTCTTGCACTGTTTTACAGCCTGCTGTTTTCACTCACTGGTGTACTCTGAACATATAGATTAGATTACAATGTTCAGTGTGATTATTCAGGTATCTTTCTTTGTGGCTTACATTAAAGGTTCTCTTGAAAAGTCCTCATTTTCTGTCTTTGGCATTTAGTTGTTTGTAATGCTTTCAGGTGGCTGAAGTTTGAGGAAGATGTTGAGGATGGGGGAGAACGCTGGAGCAAGCCTTACGTGGCCACCCTCTCACTGCACAGTCTCTTTGAACTACGGAGCTGCCTTATTAATGGAACGGTCCTTCTGGATATGCGTGCAAATAGCATAGAAGAAATTTCAGGTAAGGTTAGGCGAGGGAAAACAGCAAAATGTTGTGTTGTAAATTAAGAAGCGTGGTATAGAGGAAGCAATGAAATGACTGTGTGTCCTTGGGCAAGTCACTTAACCTTCCTGACCTCAGCTGTGGAATGGGTTTCAAACTAAGAAATTACCTATTTCAAAGGCTTATGGGATTCAAATGACATGGTGTTTAGTCTCCCATTTGTTTGTTCATTCAGCAGACATTTATTTTGTATCTGTTTATGCCTGATAATGTGCTGCACACAGGGGAATAAAGATATGACAGTTCTTACCTTCAAGGAGCTCACCTTCTAGTGGGGAAAATAGCCACGGAACAATTAATGTAAGTGCAACAATGGGGATATGTTTTAATAATAATTACAGAAAGGGGCAACTGGGAGTTATACAGAGAAAAAGGAGTTAAAGAAAGATCTAAAAAATATTGCAGCTAGGGAACACGTATAAGAAATTGAGCCAAAGTACCCCCACTTCTTCAGCAAGATATGAAGGGGAGATGTCTGATGGAGTTTCCTGGAGTGGGAATGGAGTTTGAGAAACACCTGGGGTGCATGTGAGGATTTTTCCCCTCAGCTTGGCTCAGTTTGGCTGGACAGGTTAAATAAGAATTTCTCCAAACTCTTCTCCATTTTCAGTATCCTAGTAATTCTGCCTCTCTGGGATCACATGGGGATCCAAAGGCGGGGCCAGCACTCATGGGATCCTGTGTCCCCTCCAGAGGCTCTAGGGGGAAGTTATTCTTTGCTGCATCCAGCTTCCAGCTTCCAGTGTCTCTGGTGTTCTTAGCTCATGGTTGTAGAACTCCAATGTGCCTCTGTCTTCACGTGGACTTCTCATCTGTGTGTCTCTTATAAACATATTTGTCAAAACATCTAGGATCATCTCATGCCGAGATCCTTAATTACATCTGCAAAGATCCTTTCTACAAATAAGATCACATTCACAGGTCTAGGGGTTAGTACACAGATGAATCTTTTTGGGGGCTACACTCAACCCACTACAAAAACCGAGAGGGAAGAGAGTTTCAATTCATTAGTGTCAAATGCTGCAGAGAGGTCAGGTTAGGTAAGGACTAGAAATATCCATCAGATTTAGCAACTGGAAGGTTATTGATGATTATATCAGAAGCACTTTCACTGAAGTAGCCAAATTGCAGGGAGTGGAGGCATTTTTGTTTCGAGAACTTTAAGTGATAGGAGAGAGAGACAGAGAGGAGGCATTAAATAAAGGGAAACCTGGGGTAGATATTCTTCTTCTTTTTTTTTTTTTCAAGATGAAGGATCCTGAACATGTTTATCATATGAGGACAAGGAACCAATCGATATAAAGGTTAAAGAGAGAGAAATGTGGCTCTTTGGCTTGAATATTCAAAATAGATTTTCTTTATTTATTGTTACTAGGATAGTCGTGGATGAAATTGGAGTTGAGACTATGCTGACGTTTTGGGGAGGCCTGAGGATAGGTATATAGGATTGAGGTTAAACTGCCATGGTTCACCACATTAGGTATCTGATGTATTCCTATTAGTGATGAATCACAGCAACGTTAAAATCTTGGAAGAAGGGAATATAGAGGAACTTTGGCAGATGACAGAACAAAATGGGTAATGTTGCGGGCTTTTGAGTCAGACAATCTTGGATTTGAATCCCAGCTCTGCAACTTACTAGATGTGAGACCTTGAGAAATTTTGTAATGTTTAGGCCTCAGTTTCCTGGTCTGTAAAAATTGTTATAGTACCAGCCACTTCTCAGAGTTTTTACAAGGATTAGATTAGAAAATCTATGTAAAGTTCATAGTATAGTTTCTGGCATATACTAACTGTTCAATAGTTTCTATTTCTAATAATAATGACTTGCTATATGAATAATGTATAACTTGTCATAGCTGCTATCATCAGATAGTTCTTTCAGGCGCTGAAGCGGGAATTGTACCTCAGTGACCCTGGTTGAACTGCTTCCCTCCACTCCTTGCCCCTCACCCCTTACCCCACCTGACCTTGGCTTCGTTGGGTCCATTGATCATCACTTTGAGCATTCATGGTAGTGTCTACTTTCCAGACCTGGTTCTGGACCAGCAAGAACTGTTCAGTGACCTGAATGACAGCATGAGGGTTAAAGTACGGGAAGCTCTTCTGAAAAAGCATCATCATCAGAATGAAAAGAAGAGAAATAACCTCATTCCCATTGTTCGCTCCTTTGCCGAGGTTGGCAAGAAGCAATCTGATCCACATTCGATGGATAAGAATGGTAAGATTATTAGGAGTGACTGTTTTCTCTTTTTTTATTAATAAGACATTGAGGAACTATCTGGAGACACTAAGTTACTAGAAGGTAGGAGCTATAATTATCTGATATGCTTCCATAGTCACTTAGAGTACTTTTCGGTGATGGGCAAGTGGGTGGCTGGGACTGGTGACCATTTCTCTTGTGGTAATAGGGACGCATGCCTCAGACAGACAGACTTCAGTGGACCCAGGCTGAGAGGTTTGTGCCCCAAAGTGGCCTCAGAACTGATGTAGATTTGGGGGACATATTCACATTGTGGGTAATTTGGGGCCAGAGAAGGTCAGCTGGAGCTTTTCAGGAGTATAGAAATGTCTTGGATTAGGGAGGCAAAACACAGTAGCATAGACTCTTGTGTCAGACTTCTAGGCTTGAGATTCTGGCTTTACCACTTGCAAAGTGTGTAACCTTGGGCAACCTACTAAATCTCTAAGTCTCATTTTCTCCTCTGTAAAATAAAGATAATGATAGGATCTACTCCATAAGTTTATTGTGAGGCTCCAATAACTTAATCCATGTGAAACACTTAGCCAGGTGCATGGTGGGTTATGAGCACTCAGTGAATTTTCATCTGCTGATTGGCTTCCTTTTTCTGTGGCCAGGCAGGCAGGACCTAATCTATTTTGTTCTCTCCTTGTCTCCACATTTACTGGATCACGGTGTGCAGGGGATATACCTGGGAATCAATACATTTGCAAAGTTCTTCATAGGATTCTCTGATGTGCATTCCTGGTTAAGGATTACTACTTTAATAGAGGAAGAAAACAGGATTACGAAGTGTTCTGGAAGAAGGTAGAGGAGTAGTAAGACCTCTGTCCTCCCTTAACCACTAACTACTATAGTAGCCAAGGAGATAGGTACATGTGGGTTCTAGCTTTTTAGTCATCTTAACCTCTTATTTATGTGGGCTTTGCAGGCGATAGTCATGGCCAAATGATGATGGATGAGGTATTTTAGAGGGGGAAAGGGCAGGGACTCAGAGAATTCTGTTTGATTTTCTCCAAATAGGTCAAACTCTGTCTCCTCAGTCTGTTCCAACTACAAATCTTGAAGTAAAAAATGGAGTGAATTGTGACCATAGCCCTGTGGATTTAAGCAAGGTGAGCAGAGACATGGGAAGTTGGCTTATAGGTCTAAGAGTATTTCTAGTCCAGTTGCTAGAAGCTGGGTAAGCTTTGGTATTTCAACACCCTTTCTCCAAGACCAGAACCCCTTCTGCAGGGAAGGAACCCCCATTTGCTTATGTCTTCTCCCTTCGATGCCAGCCTGGATGGGGCTGGCTCATCAGTTCAGTCCATCAGGTTCTCATGCTAAAATTGAGACTAGCCACGGATAGTCCTCCCTGACACAGACCTCCTGATTTTTCAGAATTATTTTTTGGTATCTGTTTTCCGGCAGCTCCTTCTTACCTCTAAGGGTTTTGCTGAAACTATATTTTTGCCACTGTCTCCTAAAACTACTTTGTGGTTGAATCTCCTTTTGGGGACTGTGACTTTGGTACTTGAGGCCTTCTGTAGTTGTAGTGCCATATTGTAGCTTCTGGTTCAAGCCTGAACCTCCTGCCTCTGGCCTCTTCCTGCCAAGGTCTATCCTTGACGCTAGCTTTCTAGAACACAGATAGTGTCAGGTCACTTCTCTACTTATGAGGCAGGGAACCTTATAAAAACTGGAAGCCTCTGATAGAATATTCAAGTTGTTGTTGTTTTTTAAATAGTTTTTTATTTTTCAATTACAGTTGACATACAATATTACATTAGTTTCAGGTATACAACATTGTGATTAGACATTTACAAAATTTATAAAGTGATCACCCCGTTAAATCTAGTACCCATCTGGCACCATACGTAATTATTACAATATTCTTGACTATATTCCCTATGTTGTACTTTACATCCCCGTGACTATTTTGTAACTGCCAATTTATACTTCTTAATCCCTTCCCCTTTCTCAGCCATCGCCCCCAACCCCCATCCCATCTGGCAACCCTCAAAATGTTCTCTGTACCTATGAGTTTGCTTCTGTTTGGTTTGTTCATTTATTTTGTGTTTTAGATTCCATATATAAGGCATTCAAATATTTTAAAAATAGAAAAAAATTGACCTAGAGCTTCAAAAACTTTTTTTCTTTAAGGAAGCATGGTGTAATAAAATTCAAATCTGAGTGTCTGGATTTAAATTCTCTTAAAAGCTCTGCCATCCTGGGCAAGTAAACTTTACCTCCCTGGGTCTCAGTTGCTTCATTTTTTAAAATAAAAAATGGGGCTAATAAGACCTATGTTATCCACCTTACCAAGTTCTTGTAAGGATCAAATGAAATAGGGTAAGGGAACATTTGCTAAATGATAAAGTGACATATAAATAAATGTAGGACATGAGAAGGGAGATTGATATTTGAGGCTATGGCTCCCCAGTTGTCAGAGGTCATTTTGGACTTGCAGGTGGACCTTCATTTCATGAAAAAAATTCCCACTGGGGCAGAGGCCTCAAACGTCCTGGTCGGCGAGGTGGATACCCTGGACCGCCCCATCGTGGCCTTTGTGAGACTGTCTCCAGCTGTTCTTCTCTCAGGCCTGACAGAAGTGCCCATCCCAACAAGGTAAAGTCGAAGACGACAACTCAGTGCATTCAGCCCAAAGTACAGATTTATGCGAGCTCCGGGGAAACAAACAAGCTCATGCTAAAAGATAGGATTCAGGGCTGGCTGAGTGGCTCAGTTGGTTAAGAGCTCGCTCAAGAGTTTGAGCTCTGAGCAACAGCGGTTCGAGTCAGCCCGAGCTGAGCAGTCACTGAGCTGCCAACAGGTGGCAGGATGGCTCAGCTAAAAAAAATAAATAAATAAATAAAAAATAAAATAAAATAAAAGATAGGATTCATTCATTTGGGGAATGCTGTTGAAAATTCATCAGTGTTTCACTGGAGTATATTTGATTAACTTCCATAAAGAAGAATTCTAAGACTTTTAAGGTTATGATGGCACAGTACCTGCAACCTTGGAAATGGAGAACTGAAGAGCATTCAAAGGGCAGAGCCAGGGCTTGTCACTTGTTACGATGAGAGGCCTATCTTACTCTCCCAGTTCTGCACAGCCATATCCCAGGGAACTGTCTCTGAGCAAGGCATTGATGTCTCTTTCCACAGTTCTGGCAGGATTTGTTTGGCTTGCAGACATGTCCACATTTGTTCAAAAGGCTATTCATGTGCTCTGAAGGTGGTGACTCAGGTGATTCAGCACCTCATTAATTACAGAGCACTCAGATGTCCAGACACAATTTAGTCTCCTCTCCAGGGCTTGGTAATTTCAGCTTCCTTATCCCTTTCCTCTCCCCATCATTTTCTTATTAGAGCAATGAATGAGATTCAGATAACCTTGAATTTGCACTACATTGCCATGTTTTGAAAAAGTGTCTTTTCTTATAGCAAGGAATTGTGTCTATGGAAACCCTAAGCATTACAACCAAATTATTGAATGGAGCCATACAGATAGCTTCCAGTGCCCATAGTGGAGCTATTAGGTCAAGGCAACTCGTATTGCTCCATCATTAGTCTGCCTCCCTTTATTGAAGGTACCGTGATGATTTTGTGTGATAGGAGAGAGAAATATTCTGCTATTCAGAGAGGAGTAAGATGCTACTTCTTTATGTTTACTCACATAATTTTGTCCTTTGTGTGTGTTGCCAGGTTTTTGTTTATCCTGTTGGGTCCAGTAGGGAAAGGTCAGCAGTACCATGAGATTGGCAGATCCATGGCCACCATCATGACAGATGAGGTACACGCCACTTCTGTTTTTCATTCATTCACCTCATAAATACTCATTGAGTATTTACTCTGTGCCAGGCACTGTGCTAGTTGTTGGGGATAAAATAATTGCAATTGCAGTGTCTGCTGGGAAGCCGTTCAGGTCATTTCTCTGAATACTTATTGTGGGAGGACCAAGCTCTCTGGAGGACTTTTCTTCCTATGTCATCTCTCCTTTTTTTAATAATCAAGGATGCATAGAAATCTTTTTCTGGGAAAATTATTATTGCCAAGTAGGATACCTAGAGAGAAAAATATTAAGGCTGACTTAACATTCTAGAGAAAATAGTTAATTAAATGCATCCAACCTATTTACATAAAGAAACCTCAGTCCTGTTCCACATAAATGAGATCACATTGTGTAAAAGTCAGGGATTTGCACTTGGCACTGTAATGTGAATGTACCAAGGCAACCAGACATTTTGGCTGCCATGGTGATGAACCCCCACTGCATACCCTGGTGAGGACTGCACTGTTCATGTAAGTTGCAAAGCTGGCCTTTCAAGGCATATGTCTTAGCAGGCAGAGGGAGATGGGGGCTGTGTTTTGTCAGCTCTCTTTGATTGGGAAGCTCATTTCACACAGCGCGACCTTCATTAGTAATCCTATCCAGTTTTTCCAACCATTGTGATTAGGAAATTTTCCCATGCATCTTGCGTTTTGTTCCATTCTTTGAGGAGATAACAAAATTCAACATCTGTAGAGTCATGTCTTATCTTTTTTTATACTAATAGACATAGACTTAGTTCTTTTTGACCCATCTCATCTTTAGGTTCTTTTTTTTTTTTTATCCTTTTATTCTTGCACTTTCCTAAGTGCTAAAGTTTTCCACATTTCAGGTCCCCATGACAGATATAAAAAAAGGTTGTATCCATCCTTCACCATATCCACTGGTGATTGTTTTAAGTAAAGTCATTTTCAACTTTCCTGAGGGTTTTTTCTTCTCTGTAGATTTTTCATGATGTGGCATATAAGGCAAAAGAACGAGATGATCTCCTGGCAGGGATTGACGAGTTCCTAGACCAGGTGACGGTGCTCCCTCCAGGGGAGTGGGACCCCTCCATTAGAATTGAGCCACCCAAAAACGTCCCTTCCCAGGTAATGTATGCACATTAGCCATGGTGGCTTAGTGTCACTTACTGAGTACTCACCTTGGATAAAGCAAAAACCATGTTGGGTACATGCTAAATAAATCGGGACGTAGCCTTGATTTGGGGCATCTAGAATGATGTCAGAACAGTAATAAAAAATGAATATGCAATAACACAGATGGGCTCAGATGTGATAGGGTCAGTCAGAATGACCTGGAATGAATTTTAAGCCAACTTTTGAAGGACTGATGTGGAATGGCAGAGAGGAGAGGGAAGGACACATCTTGGTAGTATACCATGAATGAAGCCATTAAGTGAAAAGAGCAAATTGTATACAGAGAGCAAATAGAGTTCCCCCATACTTTTCTGACAGGATCAAGATGGGAAGGGTACTCCTACTATACTCTAGACGCTAGGCCAGATGCTTTATAGATGCTAATTCAATCCTCAGCAACATCCCTACTATTATTGTTATCCTTAGTTTTACAAATGAGATATAGAACTATCTTCAAGGTTTAAGGTAAAGTAAGATTGTTGAAATTGGACCTTAGGTCATATATGATGCCAAAGCCTCCATTTTTCTGTTTCTGGGCAAGACAGAGTTAGGAGTCAGGTACTCGTGGAGAGGAAGAGAAATGATATACTGTTGGTTTTTTCAGGAAAGTCAATAAACTGCCCCAAATCAGTAAATGCGTTTGAAAGCTACAAACACTTGGGTATTTTTTGGCTGCTTTTGAATTATTTTGCCACTCTCCCCCACCACCCGTTAGCAGGAAGGACAGAATAGATGTTTGACTTTACTAATTTTATGGTTCTCTGTTAAAAGGAGAAAAGGAAAATGCCTGGAGTTCCAAATGGAAATGTCTGCCACATAGAACCAGAACCGCATGGGGGCCACAGCGGGCCAGAGCTTCAACGCACCGGGCGGTAAGTTCTGGGCTATTTCACAGCTGATACAGCTTGCTGGGCAGAAGTCGTGTAAAAGAATGAGTCATCCTCTTTGCTTTCAGCCTTCTTCTCTGTAGTATCTTAATTGGCTGGGAATGATTTTTCAAATGGAACCACTGACTATAAGTATTATGAATATATCAAATATTGTATTCATTCATTCAAGTTTCTCAAACCACTGCCATATTCTGTCTCACCTCCGGTGCTTCCTACACATTGTTCCCTCTGATTTGAACACTCATCCCCTTCCTCATCTCCTGGCTGACTGCTGTTTATCCTTTGTCTCAGCTGAGGTGTCACTTCCTTTGGAAAGCCTTCCAGGACTCTGTGGATGAGGTTAGATGTCCCTGCTGTGTGGTGTCACAGCTCTGAGTTGTTCCCCTGCCCACCTGCTGCCCTCCCCCCAGCCCAGTAGGAGCCCTTATCGCACTTTATTATTATTGCCTGATTTGTTGTCTTCCTTATGAAATGTTTGCTCCATCAGGGCAGGGACCCCATGATATTCCTAGTACCCAGCACAGTGCCCTGCACGGAGCACGCACTCAATATCTGATGAATGAATGAGTGAATGAATGAATGAATGAATGAATACTTTTAGAATGATGCCTGTTCAGTAACGTGAGTGGACTAGGTATGGATAAATATTGAGTGATTATTTTAAGAAACTCCCGTAGGGTAGGAAAATATGTGCTATTTTAGGCGTGTGTCTCAGAATAGGCAATCTACTCTTCTAGGCCAAAATTTTCAGGAGTGATGTCCAAGAAGGAGGCTCTCTATGATAGGTGAGAGAAGCAGATCCCCAGACTCGGAGGTTTTGTTTGCCAGATAGGAAGATGGTAAAAGAGGAGAATATTTTGGGTTGAAGTGACATCCAGAGGTGTCCCCTAGATTGTGGGAGACAGTGGAGACTGGCTCTGGCTCTGTAAGTTGTGCTTGTGTCTAAGAAGGATCTGCTGGGTGGAGATTCTCAGGATAGGACTCAGATCATGGAAAGAAGCTTTTAACACCATCTACTCCCTTGCTTTCGCTTTATTATTTCCTGCTCGCTTAAAGTTGCTTTCCTTATTTTTCTATCCTTAGTACCCTACCCAATGGAAGCTCAAGGCTTTTTTTTTTTTTAAATTGTGGAGAGTGATTTCTTTTTCCATTCTTGGAAATTCAGGGAGAGGAAGTGAGAGGAAGGAGACTGAGAAGCAGGCGAGAATGGCACTCAACCAGCAGTTTCCTGATAGGGGAGTGTGCTTCCTGGTTGGAGGAATGTATTTGAGATTGGGGAAAGATAACTGGGCTCTGGGGAGGCATCACTGGAGGAAAGGAGGAGCCCTTTGATGGAAGGGGCTGCCAAAAAGAGGGAGTAACCTTTAAGAGTAAGTTTAACATTTTCTTTAAAGTTGAGAGGGGGCTGAGTTGGGTGGGGAGACCTGGTATTTAGAGGCAGTTCAAGGGAAACATCTGTCCTTAGAATAGGTTCCAGGATTGAGACTGTCTTAGAGGAGATGGTGTTTTTTAAGGGAAAGGTCTTGGGTATGGATTTGATAGTATTTCAGAGTTATGATTTATCTTTTGAATGTAAAGGGTGTCCACACCCTTGGATTTAGAGTTTGAAAGTAGTGGAAATGAGGGCAACAGGTTTCCTCTAAACAGATAATCCATGCTGAGGTCAGATTTCAGGTTTCTTTTGGTGTCAAAGAAAGGAGAATAAACTAGGGTCCCATGTTTTTTGAGGGGGTCACTTATAATCAGTTTCACGTAGGAGTTTGTAAGATCATTAGATTGGATCTCAACAAATATAAAGTCTCGGAAATGGTGCCTGACATCCCAAAAGAAAATCCCATATAGCCAGGATCATCACATGTTTAATCACCAGCCCCAAATACCTTTACTCACAAGTTCAAATGGGGTTTGAGGAAGTCCTTCTGTAATGTCACGTTAGGAACTTCTGGAATTGACAAAGCTGGAAAGAAGAGTTATCTGGGTTCAGAGACTAGTTCTGCTTGGTGTGGGAGATGCTTCCTCCTCTTGAGCTCCTGAAGTTTCCCTCAGAGCCCTTTGTAAAAGACCTCAGGACACAGGGCCTTCCTCCCATTGTAGCCTTTTAGGCCAGGTGACCTAATGCCTGTATCAGGGACCATAGTTCCATGCCAACTGTGGCCCCTTCCCCAATCTCAAATTACATAGTGGGTGAATGTGAACCTTCCAATGCAGATAGACATCCTAGAATTTTCCGGACGCACTTGGACTGCACAGACTAAAAAGAAATTAGCCTGGATTTTATAATTTTTCACACCATTAGTCATGTTTCTTTGAGGTGGTGTACAACCTGAGGCAAAACCTGGAGACTTAGGGGACATTATCGTCGTTGGATGGAGAGAGATTTGAAGATGTGAGAGTGTACACTTGAAGATGGAGGGAAAGGAGACAAAGTTGAACACCGTACCTTGAGTTCTGTGTTATCTGAGCTGCCAGGCCAGGGCTCAGACAGTGTCGTGGACCTCCCTGACATTGACGTTGGCAGTGATGCAATGCATTCCCATACGTAACAAAGAGGAAAGTCTGATTAGAGTGCTCCTAGGCCAGAAACTTCACAGCAGAGAAGATACTCTGGAAAGGGGGTTTCCAAGGTAGATTTATGTACTTCATTGGGGATGCCACTTTCGGGAAGGTTAATGAAAAAAAAAGAATCAGGAGCTGCTATCTTGGTGATCTACCCACACTTCAAACAGGTTTCTTCCAAAACACACCAGACAAATGGCTGGCTGGCCTGTCCCTAAAGCCCTCCAGAGAAGGGCTCCCTAAGTCAGTGCTCGAGAGCCTACTGACCCTCTACGTGGGTAAGTCCTTTCTTGCATCAACCTTAAATTCATATCCCTGTGTGTCTCCCACCCCACCCCACCCCAAGACACTTGAACATTAAGTGTAGTGTTGAAAGGGAAAGGAAGTCTCAAATGTGGAGAGAAGCATCCGTATCTGATAAATATCTGTGGTAGATGTGCAATTATGGTCTGATTTTATGTATGAGTGAGGTACGTGGCTGACTCCATAAACAGTGTTCAGAAGTTATTTTATAGTTATACCACCAATAAGAGCCTCAGCTCTTTTCTCTCCCCTTTAAATCACTGCTGGGCAGACAGAGGTCCTCCCTTTCTATGGCTTCTCATAAATCCATTTCACATAAACCTTTTGTCTGTTACTCACAGACGCTCCCCCCTGAATGCTCCTTCTGTGTCCAAGGGCCAACCAGTCACAGCAGCATCTCAGGTTTTTTTCGTGGGTTGAGGCTCGTTATTGCAGAAGATTTTTCTCCCTTCAGAGGAAGGTCATTGGTGATTAAGAGGTGATATTCACATGGTACTAAGATGCCATGTTGGCTAAGGACGCAGAATCTTGCCCCGGACTAATTGCAGCTACCTGTAAGTTCCTTAAGCGGCTATTTACCAAGAGAAGAGAGCAGGAAAAACACTTTATTACAAACGGGGGCCTTGGCCCCAGTGCTCTAAATTAGACCCTGTCCCTAGCTCCTCACCCACGCTAGATGTGCCAGACAGGCGTTTAAAACCAGAGCAGGTCACCAGGCTGCCTCTGCCCCTCTCCCCTAAGCCTAGATCCAGATCATGATGTTACTGCTGTAAGTTGAGGAAGGGCGAATCCCAATGACACCCACCCAAACCAGAGGTAAAGAGAACAGTGTCTGCCCTGTGTCCAGCTGCACACCCATTGTACCTGGCCAGACGAGAGAGACAGTTTTCGAATGGGGAAGAGAGTTCGTTATGCTGTCTCCCCTGGCATGTAGGTCCCAGACCTTTACACCTCCAGGCTCCTAAACAGAGAGAAAGGAAGAAAGAGGTAGCCAAGCCTCCTTTCATGAGAGAGTAGATTTTTTTTAAAGCTTTTTATTATAGAAAATTCCAACATATAAACAAGAAGCGAGGATAGTATAATGAACCCCCCTGTGTCCATCAACAGTTATCAACATTTTCCCAATCTTGTGTCATCTATTTCTCCTCACTTAACTGTTTTATTTTTATGTTTTCTAGATTATTTTAAACCAAATCACCGGTAGCATGCCATTTTACCTGTAACTACTTCAGTATGTATCTTTGTTTAATAAGGATATTTTATAAAACAATGATCATTATTAAGTCTAACAAAATTAACAGTAATTCTTTAAGTTGTATAATGCTCAGTCCATATTCAACTTTTTGTGATTGTCTTAGCAATATCTTTTTAGAGTTCATCTGTTTGACATAGGATCCAATCAAGGTTTGCATTTGGTTATTATGTTCCCATCCTGTAACAGCCCTCCCTCCTTTTTTTCTGTGCCATTGATTTGTAGCAGAAACCCTGCAGTCTGTCCTATAGAATGCCGAGTGGCTCTTTTTGTTACTCACCTAACAGCGTTCACTGTAGTGCAGTGACTCCACTCAGAAAAAGTAACTTAATCTGGGACCACTGCTCCATGGTGTGGGATATCTTGTTCTTGATCTGTCTCATCTTTGGGAAGCAGAGATGGGTCTTGCCACCAAGTCCTGTTGATTCTAACTCCTGATTAGCCCTTGAACCCATCCACTTCTCCTCATCCCAGTCCACTGCCTCCAGTCTTCCCCCAATTCCACCCATGACGCGCCTCTGCCAGAGTGATCCTTCCAGAATGCATGTGTAATTATGTCACTCCCCTGTTTACAGTCCTTCGGTTGACTTGACATGCTGTTAGGATAAAGGTCTAATTCCTTAAAACAGTTTACAAGGACCTTCATGACTCAGGTTTTCCAGCTTCTCCGCCCTCAGCTGTTGGTACTTGCCTCTCGCACTGTCTTATCTGGCCATATCTCTTTCAGTACCATGAACCTGCCATGCACTCTCACCTCTAGGTATCATCGAGCTAGCATCTCTGCCTCCTCAGGCTAACTCCTGGTCCATTCTCAGAGTCCCCAGTGAAATGCTGTTCTATGCTGCCATGGCACCCTCACAACACTGCCTGTCTCCTGCACTAGGCCTTTGGTACCTCTCTCACTGCTGTATCTCCAGTACCTGGCGCAGTGCCTGGTACGAAGTATCTGCTGCTGCTTATCAACTGCATGAATGAGTTATCATGCTAATTTCTCAAGAGTAAGATGAGTAGTTGTTCAGAGTAAGAAAGTGCATGTGAAATAGGCTTTTTATCTAGAAAAGATGTAATAAAACTATTTTAATACCTTTAATTGATTTTATACATTTCCTCCTAATAGCTCAGAATTTGAAGTTAGAAGCTAATACTTAATTTCTTATTAATTTTTTGGAACTTTTTATTGAATGGTTAATATGCACACCCAAATTAATTCTTTTTATGCTCAGGGATAATCATTCAGATTCATGCCCTTGGTTGCAAGTAGAATCTGTGCTGACCCCAGATAAATCTCTTGTACTTGGGTCAAATTGAACCAAAGTATTACCTACATACAGAGCTCATTTGAAGTGCTTTCAAATATGGGCTGTTCATATGCTTCTGTGGAAGAGGGACTGTGTTAGATCTTGTCTGCCATGTTTCCACAGGCTATTTGGGGGCTTGGTGCTGGACATCAAGCGGAAGGCCCCCTGGTACTGGAGCGACTACCGGGATGCACTCAGCTTACAGTGTTTGGCCTCCTTTCTGTTCCTGTACTGTGCCTGCATGTCACCTGTCATCACCTTTGGGGGACTGCTTGGAGAAGCCACTGAGGGACGCATAGTAAGAACTTTTAACCACTTCTAATGGTCCTAAAGAAGACTTAAAATACTGTGGGGGCAGCCAAGTCCACTGTGGCAGGCGAGATTCCCTGGCTAGTACTGGGGAGATTGGAGTCTTCCTGTTGAATTACTATGGTATTCTGACTTCACACCATGCAGCAACACAGTTTTTCCTTTAGAACAGACTCTCTTCTGCTTGAATATCAATTTCAGTAGCTGATTGTCCAGTTGAATTGCCCATTACTCCAAGGACAGAAAATGATATATTAATGTCTTTTGAAAAGAAGATTTAAGGTGATTCTGTATGACAGCTTGTAGTGTGAATGGTATCACTGTGCTTTTTCTATATATTTAAATACTGAATTGCGTCATTGCACAACAGGACTTAGCTAAGTAATCGTATGTGGATGGATTTGGGCACCTGAATTATCAAAATGATATCCGTTTACAGGAGTATTAGACAGTGTGTACACATCTCTCTCGCTAAGATGAAATATAAGCAAATGACTTGTCAGGGTACACGTGAGAGCCAAGTCAGGAATGTACATAAACCCACATTACTCATTTCAGATGAACTGTGGCCTCAGTGATGATTTTTCCCTCCCTTTCAGAGTGCAATTGAATCCTTGTTTGGAGCCTCCATGACCGGGATCGCCTATTCCTTGTTTGCGGGGCAGGCTCTCACCATTCTAGGAAGTACTGGGCCAGTGCTTGTGTTTGAAAAGATTTTGTTCAAATTCTGCAAGTAAGAAACTGGGTTTTCTGAAAACTCTAACTGGATGTGTTATTGTGCTGTTAGGGTTGAATGTCAGGGGCCCAGGCGAGTATAAGCAGGCAAATGTCATTCTGGATGGTAAAAACCAGAAGGAAGAACAACATTTGGTCTGTTACCCCGCCCCCAGGTCGTACCATACCCAAAACAGCACGTCTTATAGTTAAAGAGCTTTGTTAATGTCCCTCAGCCATTATTGAAATCTTGACTTTTTTTTCTTTAAAAAGCTTTCCCTAGTTAATTCAAACTCCTCCACTTCCATTTGAAGTCAATTTTTAATGTGACCTAATACCCCTTCATATTCTGGTTGCTAGTGGCGGTGGGGGCTCAGTAATGCCCTTTTCCCTCTACTTTTCCTATAAAATCTTTTTTCCATTTTGTATTAGAAGTAGGAGCATGTGGAACAGGCCAGCTCCTTTTTCTTAACTGCAAGAATAAGATCTTAATCATGTTGGGCAGTCAGGGCAGCAATGTGTGTGGGACAGTTCCTTCCGTCTCCACTTTCCATGTTCTTGCTATGACAAGTACCACCCATAAAGCAAGTCTTTGTCACAGCAGTCCCAGGGCAGGATTTAGGAGTGAATTGCTGTCAGAATTAGAGAGAAACTGGGTTGCAATACTGGTGTGTAAATAATCTGAGATGAATTAATCACATTTCTGACCCTTTGTCTCTCAGTGCCATCCATCCAGGCTTTTTGATGAACTTTGTTCTTGTTTCAGAGACTACGCTCTTTCATACCTTTCCTTGCGAGCTTGTATTGGACTATGGACCGCCTTCCTGTGTATTGTCCTTGTAGCAACTGATGCCAGTTCCCTTGTCTGCTATATTACCCGCTTTACTGAAGAAGCGTTTGCCTCCCTGATTTGCATCATTTTCATCTATGAAGCAATAGAAAAGTTGATTCACCTGGCAGAGACCTATCCCATCCACATGCACAGCCAGCTGGACCACCTGAGCCTGTATTAGTAAGCATGCTTTCTGCTGGTCTTTTTTTTTATTTGAGCAAAGGGCCTGAGTTTGATGGCTGATGTAGTATGCCAGGCAGTGCTTGCAGCTTCTGTTAAGGAAGCGTCTTGGCCCTCTGGGAAACAGCCCAGATATGGACGTGGAGACTTGGGGGACTGCCAGAGAACAATCAAAATTGATGATAGAGAGGATGGTCTAAGAATGAAACTCAGACAGGACTTCAGAAATGCTTTCCAAGCCTGTCTTTTGGTTCCAGGCATTGAGACAAAAATAGGCTGCAGATATAGCACGTAGAATTGAAGTTAGTTGTTGGGAAGAACTTCTTTTTGTAAGAACTTGTGAGACCCTGGACCACGTTAGCAAGATTCTCTGAAAGAATGTACAGGATACTTTTGGGAATCATTAGGTAGAAGTACATTAATAATTCCTTACAGACCCACAGGTCTTTTACTCTGTATCCTAAAGGTCTAGAAATCTATTTACTTACCTAGATTTCAACCACAGTTTTTTTTTAACATGTTCAATATAGTTTGGGTCAGCTGGAAAAGAAACACAGTATTTGGTTGCATTTTCAACCATCTAGGAGAGTCTGGTCCTATAAAACATTTTTTCTCTGGAATAGTATTCTCCAAATTATGACTAAAGACCCTTATCCTCTAGCTCTGTATATCCAGTTCCCTCCCTTCTGGCTGGCTGTACAGTTCTGATGTGGAAGGTCTGGTTGTGAAGAACAGTTTCAACCTGAAACTGTCTGAGTAGAGACAGCACACTGGCTGGAGGTATCTGCTAACTACCCACAGATACACTTTTATAGATCTAGTTATCCATTCATTAACCTAAAAAAGCAGAATTCATATAAAATTTATTAGAATTTTTTAAAATTATTTTATTACAAAAAAACAACCATTAGAGCAGTAGGGAGTATAATCTTTGAAGCCTAGAGGATTGCCCGTTGGCCTTGGCATTCTTGCCTGTCAGCATTAGAGTAAGGTTCATTCTTTGACTTATTTGGGTCATTTATTTAACAAATATTTGTTGAGCACCTACTATATGCCAGGCAGTGTTTTAGGCCCTGGAAATTTAGTGATGAACATGCCAGACAAAGTATCTACCCTAATGAGGCTGATGTCCTAGTGAGAGAAGACACAAAAGTGACCAGCCCTGGACTGAGTAGACTTTGGATCTGGATACTGTAATTCTTTGTTCATAAAGCTCTAAATAGTATTTTTCTTAGTTGCATTTCATTGTTGGTTCATGCAGAATTGAAGCGAAGCTAGAACTTCAACTCTTTAAATGATTTTATGTTAATATGTGTGGGACTGATTTTTTTTTAATGGACTTAATATTTTTAGAGCAGTTTTAGATTCACAGTGAAATTGAGCAGAAAGTACAGAGAGTTTCCATATACTCCGCCTGCCCCCACAAATGCACAGCTTCCCCCACTATCAATATCCCATACATACATTTGTTGCAATCAGTAAACCTGCATTGACACATCATTATCACCCAGAGTCCATAGTTTACATTAGGGTTCACTCTTGGTATGTTGCACATTCTATGGGTTTTGACAAATGTATAATGACAGGGCCGGCCGAGTGACGCGTTGGTTAAGAGCTGGCTTGGGATGCCAGAGGGCTCCAGTTGGGATCCCACATATGAGGGCCAGTGACTCTGCCCTCTACAGCTAAGATGCTGAACAACGGCTCAACCTGGAGCTGGACTGCTGAGTCGCCGGCGACTGCGTAGGCTGCAGCCCCTGCTGCAGTGGGTTGCTATGGGCTACCGTGTGTAGCCAGCAGCCAGCGTGAGCAGCCAGCAGCCTCCGTGAGCGGCCGTCCAGAAGCCGATGACTGATCTGCCTCTCCCGGGAAGAGCTCAATGATGGTGCCAACTCGGGCTAGTGAAGCAACATCCTCCACAACTAGATTGAAGAACAAAAGGACAGCAACTTGTCTGTTCCCATCCCCCAATTCCCCAATAAAAATCTTAAAAAAAAAAAAGTATAATGACATATCCACCATTATAGTATCGTATAGAGTAGTTTCGCTGCCCTAAAAATCCTCTAGGCTCTGCCTATTCATCCTTCCCCACCACCCCATCCCCTGGCAACCACTGATCTTTACACTGTCTTCATGGTTTTGCCTTTTCCATAACATCATACAGTTGTAATCATACAGTATTTGGCTTTTCAGATTGGCTTTGTTAACTTAGTAATAAATACTTAAAGGCCTTCTATGTGTTTTGGCTTGATAGCTGATTTCTTTTTGTTTATATTGTAGAAAGTTTATTTTTAAATTAATTTATTGAGGTTATATTGGTTGATAATTATATGTTTCAAGTATACAATTCTATAGTATGGTATCTGTATATTACATTGTGTGCTCACCACTCAAAGTCTAGTCTCTTTTCGTTACCATATGTTTGACCCCTTTTACCCTCTTCATCCTTCCCCGACCCCTATTCCCCTCTGGTAACTACCATACTGTTGTCTGTCTATGAGCTTTTTTGTTGGTTTTGTTTGTTTGTTTGTTGCTTTCTGTTTTATATTCCACATATGAGGGAAATCACATACATGGTTCTTGTCCTTTTCTGTCTGAATTGTTTTGCTTAGCATGATATTCTCAAGATCCATTCATGTTGTCGCAAATGGCAGTATTTCATCCTTTCTTATGGTTGAGTAGTATTCTGTTGTATATATGTACCTCATTTTCTTTATCTAATTGTCCATCAAAGGACACTTAGGTTATTTCTTTTTAGCACTGAATAATAGTCCATTGTCTATTTTATACTGCAGTATAGCCATTTGCCTACTGAAGGACATTTCTGTTGTTTCCAAGTTGGAATTGATTTTTTATACCTAAATGTAAGACTTTATAGCTTTCCCTATTACTTTTAGTTATGTTGATTTCCTCCTATTATTATAACCTGTTGAGATCTTTTTGAACTTTAATTCTGTTCATGCTATACTTTTAGAAGGCATGCTCATTAAATTGAGAGATGAAACCAAGTTGGTGGGAATGGCTATATCAGTTGAGCATATGGGGAGCCAGTTCAGACATGATGTATGCTGGGACTGCAAGGCAACATGGCGGCCAGTGGGACAGGTCTGGTTCTGGTCTGCTTTAGATAGAAGAAGAAGCCTAAGAAGCTAAGGAATGGCCAAGGTAGTGGAGTATTACCAGGGATGATGCAGTGTCAGGAAGAGCTTACATCACAATTCTAGGAGACTGAGTTTTAGAGCAAGAATGTGGCAGGGGTATAAGGAGCAGTGTATCCAGGCTTGGAGGAAGCTCTTGGCAGCTGAATGGGTATCATGTCCTCCTTGCTATGTAAACTGAATTCTATAGCATGAGCCTAAGAGATAGAAACTAAGCAAGAAACCACCAGGGCTCATTCTGGGCATGTCAGATGCCATACTTGGTTGACAGCACAATTTAATCCAAGACCCGCATGCTGATTTGAGTCCATTTTTTCTAATGACTGACTGAAAAATTGGGATGTGGATGGACCTACAGATGGGCCTCAACCAGTAGGACCAATATCAGGGACCTGAAACAGGCAAAGGAGAAACAAGGCAGGCTCTGATAGAGCTTATAGCCCAGTCATGGCTAAAAATGTTTAATTGAATACTTGGCCGCTTTCCTCAGAATTTTTTTTCTTTTCCCCTCAGCTGCAAGTGTACTATCCCAGAGAATCCAAACAATCACACACTCCAGTACTGGAAGGACAACAACATCGTGGCAGCAGACGTCCACTGGGCTAACCTGACTGTTACGGTATGTCTAGGGGCTGCCAGGTGGCCTAGCATTGTGACCACCAGGTTTAAGGAGGCCTTCTGGGTAGCCCTTCAGCAAGCTTGGGTATTTACAGAAATAAAGTTGTGGGGGTTTTTTGTTTTGTTTTGTTTTTAACTATTCTGACTTGTTTTTTCCCTTCAAAATTCTCTTGTATGTAAAGAGAATTCTCTTGTATGTAGGGTATGCATACAATAGCTATACCCTACCCAGTGACCATAAGAATGTGTGGGGATGAAACCAGGCAGGGTTGGGGTGCAGATCCAGGTTTTATGGGCTCAAAGAACACTCAAATTTAGAAGTACTCTGTAACAAAAAATAATACAAATTGCTAGGACCCTCCCATAACCTCATGTTTGCTCGAGACAGTTCCCATTTTCAAAAGTGTCTTGGTTAGGAACATAAGTAGTTACCCTACCTAGAAAGGGCCTGTACAAGTGAGAACCCCACAACTGCATGGAGGTCAGTGCTGCAAGCGGCCTGTACCTCCCCCCCCCAGCAACTGTGGGGTGACAGTGAGTGATGGACTCAGAAGGCAGCAGCTTGTTATTCCCTCCTGACTGCCTTTCATTACCCAGAATGCTTGTTCCTACAGGAATGCCAGAAGATGCATGGAGAGTTCATAGGATCTGCGTGTGGCCATCATGGACCCTACACTCCTGATGTGTTCTTTTGGTCCTGCATTCTCTTCTTCACCACCTTCATCCTCTCGAGCACCTTAAAGACATTTAAGACAAGCCGATATTTCCCAACCAGAGTAGGTAGCATGCTCGTCCATTTCTTCTGTGTCAGAATTCTAATGTAACAGAGCTTGTTCTCAGCCTCCATGCTGCGTGCTGAGTAGATTGGCGGGTGGAGAGACCTAAGTGTCCTGATGAGTCACACTGTATCACCTTCTAGTGTCCAGCAGCCTCTTTTATAGGTGTATAACATAGAATGAGGAGTTAATACTTAAAAACGTTTTGATTTGAAAGTACCAGGTGAGTTTAAGGTGGAGTAGTATTCTCTAAAATCTATTAAGTCTTATTTCCAGAATGCTGTTAAGTTTCATGTCCAGAATGTTGAGACTTAACATGCAATAGCTACAGCTGACTCCGAATATATTCCATTGGGATGATCACTCAGGATACACAGGGGACCTCAAAGTCCCAGGGATGGCTCTTGTAATAGCTTGTGAAGCCACTGGTTACATTGACTGAAGCAGCCCAAATGCTCCTGACTCGGTTTGCATGACTGTAGCATCAATAGCCTTTCCCTGAGGCAGATGCACTGTCTGTGCTGTGACCATTTATGGTGGGGCAGAATTAGAGGCCAAGGGTAGAGTGGCTAAAGGGGCCATTGCTTTGAAAAGAAGCTCGAATCAAGAGGAAATGGTGGTTTTTCTGTAAGTGAGATTTCTATCAGGCACATTTGCAGAGCAGGATGTGTGAATGTGTGGAGGGCTCAGTTGATTGGATATTTACTGCACACACACGACCAAAACACATTCTTAGACTTCAATGAGCCTACATAGCAGTTACGGGAGGCATATTTTAAATAAGTTCAGGGTCATTGTTTCTGGTCTGAACAAAGAGTGAACAAGTGGCAGTTGCATACTAATTACTTGCTCAGGTCTTGGTTAAGTGCTATGAGGGATGCAAAAGAAGTCTAAAACACAATCACTGCCATTGGATAGGAAGTTGAAACACATGAAACAACCAGGTCCATATGAGATAGTAGTAAAGAGTTGTATGCCAACCTGGATATAAGTGCCATAGGGGTTCAGAGGAGAGATGGGCCGCTGAGTCCCAGGATGGTCAAGATGGGCTTCGTGGTGGAAACAGCTACACATTCAGAGAATTTATATAACATTCGGAGGAGAACTATCAAAACCAGGAAGCGGGGGAGCTGGAAACCTCAGGCTTCGAAGGAAAGCAAAGCTAGGTTAAGGTATTAGTGATGCTACACGTGGCTGAGATATATTTTGCTCCATCTCTATTGGAAGTTCAGAGTAAGGCAAGGCCCTGGGCATTTCAGAGGCATTGTATTTTATTAAAGCTACATTAAACTATATAGTGAGATGGTTCTCTTAGGAACAAAATGGTGATAAGTGCTCGGGAAAAAAATAAATCAGGAAAAGAATATAGGAAGAACTGGGGTAGAGGGTGGTGACCAATTTTAAGTAGGGTCAACAGAAAAGACCTCATGGATAAGGTAATATTTGAGTGAACATAAAGGAGGCGAGGGAGCAACCCAAGAGGTTACTGGAGAAAAATCATTCAAGGTAGAGAAATGAGCAAGTACAAAGACCCTCTGGTGGGAATGAGTCTGGCATGTTTAAGAAACAATAGCAGTCTGTGTGGCTGAAGCAAAGCAAGTGAGCAGGAGAGCCTTAGGAGCTAGGATCAGAGCAGTGAAGGATGCCCGAGGGAGTGGGCCTCATGGGCCAAGAGGGCCTTTCGGTTTTAACTCAGTGAGATGAGGAACCATTTCAGGGTCTTGGTGGAGGCATTAACTTGGGCATATTAACCTACTCCTGTGGTTTAAATATGCTTGTTTTAATTCACTATAAAATTAAAGTATTCTACTGAGGAGTTTTAAACCTTTTGCAATACTAAATTCTTTCCTGCTGCATTTAACCTACTAAAACACTTTTCCAATCCTTTCGCATGCCAGGTACGCTCCATGGTGAGTGACTTTGCTGTTTTCCTCACAATCTTCACAATGGTGATTATTGATTTTTTGATTGGCGTCCCATCACCAAAGCTTCAAGTTCCCAGTGTTTTTAAGGTAAATAGAGCTCAGGGTACTTGGTACCCTCATATAGTTTCATAGAATATGGTCCCGAGCTAATTTCAAAGTCCTTCTCATATCCTACTCAGGAGTCTTGCAGTCCTCTAAATCTGAACCTTGCTGTATGTGACTGACCTTTCAGAAAAACAAAGTCTTCTTTGTTGGCTAAGTCAAGTCAGAGAACAGCAAAAAATAAGGTCATTTAATGAATGAAACGTATTATTTATTATCATTAATGCCACTTACTGTTTTTAATATGCTAAGATTTAAAACAATGGAATGTGCACATTTACATAAACATGTACCAATTACTATGGAAATGTAGGTTTCTAAGACAAGTCTGCTTAACAGCACTTCATTGAGCATCAACTGAATAAGGGCCCTGGGGAAGGATGAGAAAGCCACATATAGGATTGGACCCCGCCTCTCAAGGATCTTGCCTTGTGAGGTGGTGAACTGGCCAGAGGGTCCTCATTCAGAGTCTAGGTCTCCTGTCAGAGTAATCGTGACATCTCTTCAACCCTATTTCATTGTTTGTCTGTATAGCTCTCTGTAGTGTATAATATTTTCCCAGAAACCTATTAGAAAATAAAACAAATGATCAATATGTAGAGACTCCAAATCTATTTCCATTTGGGGGCACTGAGTAAACAGAGAAGATGGAAAAGCTGAGCTCGGCTCCATAGATCCCCACGGGGTGGAGAGGAGAGAAAAGCTGGCCATATGCAGTGACTGGAGAAGAATCATAAAATGAGAGGGCAGGAAAGGCTGCGGAGGAGAAGGAAGCCAGGAATGAGGGCAGCCTTGGACTTGGAAACGCCCCTGTATAGCCAGTCAGCCTTTGTCTTCCTTTCCTCACCCCCTCCCTGAAGTAGGCCTGCTTAAAAGATCTTTTTCCATATTGCCTGAACATTTTTTAAATTTTATTTTGTTAAATTTTCTGAAATGCCACTAGTTAGAAATTTATGGATTAAAAACACCTTCTTTAAATATATAATACCTCCAATGTCATTCTCACCTTATTGTGAATGAGCATAATCAGCTTTCTCTCTAATACCTAGCTGAGGTCAACCCTGGAGGAATGGACTTTGTGTAAAAATAAGTAATTTGGGAGCATTAAGCAGTACTTGGAAAGATTCCCTAATGGGTAGGCTTAGATAGTCAGAAGACACTGAATTTCTGGGACATCTGGGAAGGCCTCTGAGAAGTGGGAGAAAGATGAGAAAGGGAAATGGGAGAATGTCAAAGAAAATGTTGCTCATTGGCAGGCCTTGCTTTCAGGAAGCAGAGAAGAATTTTTTTCTTCTTCTTCCCTTCCCTGTTACACCAGTTATGGCCCCCAGTGATCAAAGATCCAATCTGAAGGTCAGTACTGTTACTGATAAGTTAATATCGGGTAGAGATTAATAAACTTTTGTATTAGCCTGACAACTTAACTCCCACTTAGAACATTGTTACTAAGGAAACGGATTCTGTACACTTTCAGACTCTAATCCATTCATAATTTGGGACTTGGTGATGTTATTGAAGAGTCTTTGAATCCTAGAGTCACAACCAAAATGGAACCAAATACTTTGGATGTAACAGTCTTTGCTTTGTTGAGTTTGGATCAATTCAGAGCCAATTTGTATCCCAGGCCTTTTATTCTCCATTACTACTTGCCAAACAGGTGAACTTTTCTTCCCTAGAGTACTCTGAGGAGTGGGGGAGGGGTTGAGGATCTGGGAGAGTTTTGGTATGTAATGAACACCGAAATAACATTTATGAACAGTGGTCTTTCAGGGGCATTGGAGAGGGTCCTGGATCACATTAGTCCCCAGGTTCAGCAGTCTTGGGTTCCTCTCTCAAGTCTCTAGTTGCCCGGGCCCCTTTTTCACTGCGGATGGGAGAAGGCCCTGGACCAATCCAGTCTGAGCCCATGAGATTCCATTTAACTGGCTCTACTGTGCCTTTATTTGTACTACAGACATACATTATCTGGCTTCTGGAAGAAGATAGTCAAAGTTATTTATATTTATCTTTGGAAATCATTGAATTATTTTTTGACAACAATTTTGTAGCTAATTATATTTTACTTGAGCTAATGTTGTGATAAAGTTGCTTTCTCTGTACACAGAGTTTTGGAGAGTAGGGGAAGGAAGTGAAGGATTAATGAATATTCCATAAGAAGTTGATAATTGAGGACTGACACTTTCAAAGGGGATTTGGAACAAAGTCATAGATTTCCTAATACAGAGTTTCTGTATTTTGTGCCCTTTTTNCTACATTAAACTATATAGTGAGATGGTTCTCTTAGGAACAAAATGGTGATAAGTGCTGAGGAAAAAAATAAATCAGGAAAGGAATATAGGAAGAACTGGGGTAGAGGGTGGTGACCAATTTTAAGTAGGGTCAACAGAAAAGACCTCATGGAGAAGGTAATATTTGAGTGAACATAAAGGAGGCGAGGGAGCAACCCAAGAGGTTACTGGAGAAAAATCATTCAAGGTAGAGAAATGAGCAAGTACAAAGACCCTCTGGTGGGAATGAGTCTGGCATGTTTAAGAAACAATAGCAGTCTGTGTGGCTGAAGCAAAGCAAGTGAGCAGGAGAGCCTTAGGAGCTAGGATCAGAGCAGTGAAGGATGCCCGAGGGAGTGGGCCTCATGGGCCAAGAGGGCCTTTCGGTTTTAACTCAGTGAGATGAGGAACCATTTCAGGGTCTTGGTGGAGGCATTAACTTGGGCATATTAACCTACTCCTGTGGTTTAAATATGCTTGTTTTAATTCACTATAAAATTAAAGTATTCTACTGAGGAGTTTTAAACCTTTTGCAATACTAAATTCTTTCCTGCTGCATTTAACCTACTAAAACACTTTTCCAATCCTTTCGCATGCCAGGTACGCTCCATGGTGAGTGACTTTGCTGTTTTCCTCACAATCTTCACAATGGTGATTATTGATTTTTTGATTGGCGTCCCATCACCAAAGCTTCAAGTTCCCAGTGTTTTTAAGGTAAATAGAGCTCAGGGTACTTGGTACCCTCATATAGTTTCATAGAATATGGTCCCGAGCTAATTTCAAAGTCCTTCTCATATCCTACTCAGGAGTCTTGCAGTCCTCTAAATCTGAACCTTGCTGTATGTGATTGACCTTTCAGAAAAACAAAGTCTTCTTTGTTGGCTAAGTCAAGTCAGAGAACAGCAAAAAATTAGGTCATTTAATGAATGAAACGTATTATTTATTATCATTAATGCCACTTACTGTTTTTAATATGCTAAGATTTAAAACAATGGAATGTGCACATTTACATAAACATGTACCAATTACTATGGAAATGTAGGTTTCTAAGACAAGTCTGCTTAACAGCACTTCATTGAGCATCAACTGAATAAGGGCCCTGGGGAAGGATGAGAAAGCCACATATAGGATTGGACCCCGCCTCTCAAGGATCTTGCCTTGTGAGGTGGTGAACTGGCCAGAGGGTCCTCATTCAGAGTCTAGGTCTCCTGTCAGAGTAATCGTGACATCTCTTCAACCCTATTTCATTGTTTGTCTGTATAGCTCTCTGTAGTGTATAATATTTTCCCAGAAACCTATTAGAAAATAAAACAAATGATCAATATGTAGAGACTCCAAATCTATTTCCATTTGGGGGCACTGAGTAAACAGAGAAGATGGAAAAGCTGAGCTCGGCTCCATAGATCCCCACGGGGTGGAGAGGAGAGAAAAGCTGGCCATATGCAGTGACTGGAGAAGAATCATAAAATGAGAGGGCAGGAAAGGCTGCGGAGGAGAAGGAAGCCAGGAATGAGGGCAGCCTTGGACTTGGAAACGCCCCTGTATAGCCAGTCAGCCTTTGTCTTCCTTTCCTCACCCCCTCCCTGAAGTAGGCCTGCTTAAAAGATCTTTTTCCATATTGCCTGAACATTTTTTAAATTTTATTTTGTTAAATTTTCTGAAATGCCACTAGTTAGAAATTTATGGATTAAAAACACCTTCTTTAAATATATAATACCTCCAATGTCATTCTCACCTTATTGTGAATGAGCATAATCAGCTTTCTCTCTAATACCTAGCTGAGGTCAACCCTGGAGGAATGGACTTTGTGTAAAAATAAGTAATTTGGGAGCATTAAGCAGTACTTGGAAAGATTCCCTAATGGGTAGGCTTAGATAGTCAGAAGACACTGAATTTCTGGGACATCTGGGAAGGCCTCTGAGAAGTGGGAAAAAGATGAGAAAGGGAAATGGGAGAATGTCAAAGAAAATGTTGCTCATTGGCAGGCCTTGCTTTCAGGAAGCAGAGAAGAATTTTTTTCTTCTTCTTCCCTTCCCTGTTACACCAGTTATGGCCCCCAGTGATCAAAGATCCAATCTGAAGGTCAGTACTGTTACTGATAAGTTAATATCGGGTAGAGATTAATAAACTTTTGTATTAGCCTGACAACTTAACTCCCACTTAGAACGTTGTTACTAAGGAAACGGATTCTGTACACTTTCAGACTCTAATCCATTCATAATTTGGGACTTGGTGATGTTATTGAAGAGTCTTTGAATCCTAGAGTCACAACCAAAATGGAACCAAATACTTTGGATGTAACAGTCTTTGCTTTGTTGAGTTTGGATCAATTCAGAGCCAATTTGTATCCCAGGCCTTTTATTCTCCATCACTACTTGCCAAACAGGTGAACTTTTCTTCCCTAGAGTACTCTGAGGAGTGGGGGAGGGGTTGAGGATCTGGGAGAGTTTTGGTATGTAATGAACACCGAAATAACATTTATGAACAGTGGTCTTTCAGGGGCATTGGAGAGGGTCCTGGATCACATTAGTCCCCAGGTTCAGCAGTCTTGGGTTCCTCTCTCAAGTCTCTAGTTGCCCGGGCCCCTTTTTCACTGCGGATGGGAGAAGGCCCTGGACCAATCCAGTCTGAGCCCATGAGATTCCATTTAACTGGCTCTACTGTGCCTTTATTTGTACTACAGACATACATTATCTGGCTTCTGGAAGAAGATAGTCAAAGTTATTTATATTTATCTTTGGAAATCATTGAATTATTTTTTGACAACAATTTTGTAGCTAATTATATTTTACTTGAGCTAATGTTGTGATAAAGTTGCTTTCTCTGTACACAGAGATTTGGAGAGTAGGGGAAGGAAGTGAAGGATTAATGAATATTCCATAAGAAGTTGATAATTGAGGACTGACACTTTCAAAGGGGATTTGGAACAAAGTCATAGATTTCCTAATACAGAGTTTCTGTATATTGTGCCCTTTTTTTAAAAAAAGGATTCTCCCTCAAGAATAAGAAGAAATGTGGATGTTGTGATTCATTTTGATCTGTTTTGCCGTAATGACTATAGTTACCTTAAAATACTAAAATAAAACCTTGTTTTTTCCCCTTTAGCCAACAAGGGATGATAGAGGGTGGATTATTAGTCCTATTGGTCCCAATCCCTGGTGGACTGTGATAGCTGCAATTATCCCGGCTCTTCTCTGCACTATCCTAATATTCATGGACCAGCAAATCACAGCTGTCATCATTAACAGGAAGGAGCACAAGCTCAAGGTAACAAGAAGCTCTGACCTAGAAGGACTAATGGCAGCCTGTTACTTTTTTTTTAAATTTTACGGTAAACCCATTTATTCCACAAACTATAGAACCTGGATAAAAAGCCTCCATGGAAGGAGCTCATTAGGAGTTTTCAGGGGTTTCCAACCTTTAGAGTGGAGCACAATGGTATGATGCAAAAGGAGTTAGGACTCCATTCCTCTTCTCTCAACCTGTGGGGAAAGTAATCATGCAGAGTTCCTGGTGGTCCATCTGCTGTGGGTCAGGCTCATTTTCCTGAGGTTCAGGTAAGAGCTTGGGCCACTGCTTCCTCGAGGCAGTTATTCTCCCATGGTATCCATTACTGGGGCTTCCAGACTGAACACAGTTAGGTTTGGTTCCAGTGCATGTATTAGTGAGAGACTTCATGCCTTCATTTCTGTTCTTTCCTTATGTAGAGTAGGCAACATGCAAATTTGGCAAGGATTTGGGAGTGTGTTTTAGGAACCCAATAAGGACATTTATCTTCAACTCCTGTAGTGTCTACCATCTAGAATGGTCAAGATGTGACTTTTTCTCTGGTTACTCTGCCAAGAAAGGATGAATCTTTAAATGTGTGAGACTCAGAGTGAGATCTGAGGGCCCTTTGGATAAAGATGGATATTGACCTGTTTTGGGCAGGCTGAGGTTTCCCTTTTTCTTTTCTGTTCCCTCTAAAC